AAAAATGTCGAACATTTGATTAATAATGATTTAATAAATTTATCTAACGTATCTTGTGCCCATAATCTCAAAATTAACCCGTTAAAATCATCCGCAGTTATATTTGGATCAAAAACCAAAAAAAGAGAGTGTTTGGAAGAACATGGGGTTCCTCATATGCCTTTTATAGGAGAAAATGTTCTCCTAATTCGAGATAATGCTCGACCGCATATAGCCAGAATGACTAGGCAATACCTCAACGGGATTCAAGTGCTAGACTGGCCGCCAACGAGTCCGGATCTCAACCCTATTGAGCAAATGCGGGATACACTAGGAAGAAGGATTAGGCAGAACTATGGAGAATTTCAAACTGTGGCTGCATTGGAAAAGGCACTGGCAAACGAGTAGGAGCAAATTCCTCAAGACACAATAGCTGGTTTAATTGCGCCTATGCCAGAGAGGATGCGAGCTGTTATTCAGGCCCGGGAGGAAATACTCGTTTTTGATAACAATTTCTAATTACCAATGATGTCACTGTTACATTATTTATGGTTATGATTCGCATAGTTTTCTTATCAATGTTGTCACTTTTAATTTTTTAAACTAAATTGTTTATGGCTATGATTCGCATGATTTCTTCAAACAGCATATATTCTTCAGTAATTGAGATATCGACATGAATAAGAAAACTGTTGAGAAAAGTTGAGGCTTAAAATTCTCATACAAAGACACAGTATTCAGTAATCCAATGTTTCCACAGGATGTTCAGATATGTACGGCAAAATGCACCTTTTAGTACACCCTGTATAACAACAAACATTTTAAATTTTATTGTAAAATCGTCAGTCGATAATGATGACTATGAAATTACCTACAGCCTGACGAAAAAATGAACGAAATTGATGCAAAGGTTAAACATTTCAAATGTATTTTAAACAAAATTTTGTTTGTCCGGTTAATATTGCGTGGCAGTGTAGAAACGAAACTTTTCCGTCTGTGCTTTTCACGCTTGATCAAATGAGACCCCGTCCACTGGGAAACACGAAGTTTTTGCTTGCATGCTACTCTACTTTACAGTAAAAAAGCCTTGACATCAATTTTACGTATACATGGAATGCCATCAACATTTTATTAGCGTATACTTCCATGATAGCAAATATGTTTACAAGTTTTTATCGAAATTCAATAAATGACTCTGGGTGTTGCCTTTTATATGTCACTTAGGGCCAATTTCACCAACAACAGTCCGTCATTCTCCACCTATAAGGTAACAGCTCGTCAAATAGAGCGAATGAGCTTGAAGTTCCAATCAACAAATTTTAGCAACCAATAGCTATGAAATGTTGAAAACAAAATACTGTCAAAGGATGAGCTGACATCTTGTCATTGAAACATCATCGGCTTATTGAATATTAAGAAATTACATATAATCAGTCAAAATTTAAACAAATGTTTGATTTTTTAATAAAATTCATGATTTATACTAAGTGACATATAAATCCGAATACCCAGTTTAAATGGTTTTATTTTAATAAACGTTGGTGAATGTATTTATCTTACTGTAAATAACAAGTAAAAAAATTTTCAGCCTTATCAGTTGGACGATCCGGTTTTTATACTACTTTTTTTAATTCACTAACGCTCTAAAAATGAATATTTCAGCCGCAGTAAAGAATCAACGTTGACGGATTTTGGTTCTTGACATCCTTTACCATCGGTTACGATGCCTAGAGTACGGAGACCTGTACGATTTCGTCAACTTAGTGAGTTTGATAGGGGCCGTATAGTGGGACTTCGGGAAGCTGGACTTTCTTTTCGGGCAATTGCAGTTAGAGTGCAAAGAAGTGTAGACACTGTGGTTAGGTGTTGTCAGGCATGGCTTCGAGAAGGCCGTACGCAAAGAGCAAGGGGCGCTGGACGCCGCCGTAGAACAAAATACCGTGAAGATCGCCGCCTAAGATTATTGGTCATAAGGGACCGTTTCTCCACTACCAGGTCCATTGCAAATGAATGGTTTGCAGAACACGGAAGACCTATTAGCATGCGAAGTGTTTACCGACGAATGAGAAGTTTTGGCTTGTTTTCATACCGGCCACACTGGGTCCTCCCTTTAACTCGAGAACACCGACGTAATCGCCTTGAGTGGTGCAGACAACGGTCACTCTGGGATCAGGAATGGAACAGTATTGTGTTTAGTGACGAGTCTCGATTTTGTTTAGGCATGCACGATGGTCGTGCCAGGGTTAGAAGGCGACGTGGTGAAAGAAGGAATCCACAGTTTCTTGTTGAAAGACATGTTCATCACACTGTTAGAGTTATGGTTTGGGGTGCTATAGCTTATGGTTCCAGGTCACCTTTAATCTTCATCAGAGGTAACATGAACGCGCAGCGTTATATCCACGAAGTTCTAGAACCCCATCTTTTACCCTATCTTGACACCCTGGCAAATCCAACTTTCCAACAAGATAATGCCCGACCACATGTTGCAAGAGTCACAATAGACTTCTTTCAACATAATGATGTCACACTGTTACGATGGCCACCAAGATCTCCCGACTTATCCCCAATTGAGCATGTGTGGGATATGATGGGTAGGAGATTGCTCAATTTGCAACGTCCTCCTCAGACTCTAGAAGCACTTCGAGAGGAGTTGGTGGTTGCCTGGAATGAGATACCACAGGAGGACATTGACCACCTGATCAGAAGCATGCCTAGGCGCGTTGGAGAATGCGTAGCACATCAGGGTGCATCCACACATTATTAAAGGTCAAAGGGCTTTAAAGCAGTGCAATCATTTTTAAATTTTTATCATTTACTTATTATGCTTCATTAAGTACTTATACAAAATTTTATTAAAATAAAACCATTTAAACTGGGTGTTCGGATTTATATGTCACTTAGTATAATTACTATTGTTGATTTTTTATTCATGGTTATATTATTTTCTTCAATTGATATGCGAGTTTACTGATTCAAGATCATCTACTGGGTGTTTTTTCCTATAAATCTCTTGCAGATAGCCATTAAATCCCAGTATATTGTTTGTATATATATGTGTAAAATTAGTGTAACACAGGGCATTTTCACACCCACCCTACTTATGTAAGGCTGGGAGTTAACGGTCATTTGATCGAGGATTTGTCCTTTTTGCCAAAAATATTGTGTGTATTTTCTATAATGTTTTTTTTGTTTTTGTTTTTTGGCAAATAAATGTATTTTGAATTTGAATTTTTGAATTGAAATTAAGCACCTACTTGATGACTGGCTCTACCAAAAAGTTCATAGATATTGCTCGTTTCCAAACATTCATTCATTTACTTGCCGTTCATTAGAACCATTATGGCACCTTAGATTGATATTCCCACAAAACCATTATGGTTTTTTAAGATCCATACATCCATAAAGTTGAATATTTTTCGTTGTTCAGGAAGTTAACAAACATCCACACTATATTCACAGCGATTAAGAAATACCCAAATATATGTCGCAGAGCTACCAGCAAATCTAAAACCTGCAGAAAAACTAGAAATTTGCAATATTTTATCTTTTTTCACTGAGTACATATTCTGGGTTATATTTATAT